TGTCTGAAACGGATTTCTATGGGACACATTTTGGCCGTAGGAGGGTATAAAAAATTCATATTATCGTAATTTGAATAAAGTTCAAGAGAGAAGTACAAAAAGGTCAATCAAGAAATGTAGTTTAAAGAACGAAGTATTCCCAAAAAATCTCTCCTTCGATTTGACTCATAAGACTGACATGACACAAATAAATTGTTGTAGCAGGAAACAACATAGTAGATTTATGTTCATGCCGGATCGCCAGCAAGAAATCAAATAACTTAAACTCTATGACGAATTTGGCCTTATGAGGTTCTTTTTACACTCGCCAAGGTATTTCGTACCCAAAAATAATCCGCCATTCCCTATGCTATGAGTTTCATTTAGTTGCATAGTGTTATTTACTCTGTCTAGACTATCAAATTAAAATCCAATTTATTTTCGACGGGGCAATAACCATCAACACACCGTCGTCAACTACAAATGTGAACTATTGCAAGTCGGTCATAAAATACAAAAACAATTTGTTTGTGCAATTTCATTTAGAATACTACTGTTTAATATTTCTATTGATAAGATTAAAAAAAAATAATTCAATCTATGTTTGTATATATTGGAAAGATTCCCACCATAACATCTAGCACTCTACACCTCTAGCCAATAAAAAGGTCAAATTGTTGATAGGCATCAGGTAAACTTCCTAGATGATTATACGGAACTTATTGTTAGGAATTAATGCTATAAAATACATAATTATAATAACATAAATTAAAAAAAGATAAATAACTAAAATTAGTAGTTAATAATATTGAAACCCCATCATAACGTATCTCATATCCGTTTTAAATAAATATAAAAAATAATCATCATGTGTGTGCTTCGATGCAAAAACAGTCATATCGTTACTGTGTAAACCCCCTGAATATAAATATTAATTGCATTTGCAAGAAAATATTAATAATTTGTTATTTTTTTCTTAGTATTCATGATCGACTGACCGACTGGTTGCTTGCTTAGCAAGCTGATTGCATTCTCGTTACTAAGAGCTATTGCTTATAGAATTGTTCGTGACACAGCTTTAATTGGAAATATATATAAACACATATATAGTGTATAGACGTAAGATCTATACTATGGGAAATTTTGCAATATTCTTTTGTTTGTTTCGTGTTTTTTTTTTCTGATGCATTCTTTTGGAATATAAATTGTCTTGTTGGCATTGCGAAATTAATTTTTTAGTATTAATTTCCTTATGAGTCCGTTTAAATGTTTAGATTGTTTTAAGGCATTTTATATGTGTGGAATGAAAAAAAGAATTAAAAAACACCCAACATAAGGTTAGGTTTAAAAGAAGGGGGTGAATTAATGCCACCTAATGCCCAGCAGGGCAGTTCGACTTTTCGGGCGACAGATTAAGCTGCACTCCAACCAGTGTTGGTGGAGCAAATACGCCGAGCTTACGTTTCATAGTGAATATTACCAGTTCCGTCTTTGTTGGATTTACTCCAAGGCCGTTAACCTTTGCCCAGCGTAACAGTGTCGATAAGGCTCTTTGCATAAGCTCCGAGATTGACGGACGGAAATTTTCCGGAAATCAATATCGCCACGTCGTCCGCATAGGCTACCACTTTGATACATTTCCCGTCCAGTTCCATCAGTATATTGTTGATTCTGCTATTTAGCATTTTATCTATCCAACAAAAAAGGTTTTCAGGAATGCTAACTTTTTTAAGTGAGTGGTTTACGGACCCAAGTTTAACGTGGTTGAAAGCACCTTCTAAATCTCGAAAGGCGGCCAACGTAAAGTTCGATTTTTTCCACATTCCTCAATATAACTTACCACCTTATGCAGTGCAGATTCCACAGACTTGCCTTTTACATATGCGTGCTGCGAAATGTTTAAGAAAGGTGGTGTCTACACGACTCATAATCTCCGGGTCGATCAACCTTTCGAGGGTCTTCAGGAGAAAGGATGATAGGCTAATGGGTCTATAGTCCTTTGGTGCAGAGTGACTTGATTTACCCGCTTTGGGAATGTAATTAACCTTTACCTCATTCTAAGACCCGGAACGCACGAGAGAGTCAAACACGCCGTATAGATCTTCCCAAGGATCAGATATATACTTGGCGAGGTAAATTGAAGCATCGTCGGTTTGATACCAGCTGGTCCTGGTGGTTTATATGGTTTGGAGTTGTTGCTTGCTCAGCGTATCTTATTTCTGCTAACCACCTAGCCAATGTTATCCAAATCTATAGTCGCAAGAGGTTGAGTGTCATCACATGGTGTGATGGTATCCACATCTATGCAACCTGGGAAATGGGTTTCTGCTAGGAGGTTAAGAGTCTCAGAACCAGAGTTTCTTGATACTCCCGATGATTTCGGATCCTTGGATAGTAATTTTTGAAACCTAGCAGCGTCGTTGACTCCTTCTATCGACTCAAAGAAATGAATCGAAGACTTTTTCTTGGCACGCTTAATCTCACTCTTATATTTGTTGAAACTTGCGGATTCTCCCGACTGCAGTCAAAACAAACTTGTGTACAAAATGTCGATCTTTTAGAAATAAGCTATCCAAAAAAATTTGGCGGCAAATTAATTGACTAAGAAAAAACCTACTGAATAATCTCCTTCCACTCCGAATAAACCATAAATGATCTGTCAATACATCAGATTAAATAAATAAAATGCATTTAACAAACTAATTGATTTTGAGTGAATCATCCATTAGATGCCGGTAAAGATGCGGGGGAAACATATGAAATAAACACAATGGAAACAAGTTTTTTTGCGTTGGAATCAGGTGATCGTGTTATGTACGTAAATATGTATATGGCTGATGTCTGTCTGCAATTAGACGGAAAACAAAAGACATTTGATAAAAATGTTGCTGCATTCTTATAAAAATAGAATGCAAATATTACGCTTGACTGAAAGAAATATGCGAGACAGAGAGGCGTCATCATTTCGTCTTTGGATACACATTTATAAAGACAAATAAACAAAGAGGTCTTTATTTAGACCAAGGGTAGTTATATACACAAATTGGTCGGTATATAGACCATTGATCGTTATATAGACCAAAGAAATTTATTCAGACCAATTGGTCTGTGTAGATAGGCTATAGGTTTTTATATAGACCAATCGACCAATTTGACCTGTCTAGATACCAATTGGTATGTCTAAAGAGACCACCGGTCTTTATTATAAGGACCATTTGGTCTGTATTGAGATACTACAGGTCCTTATATACACCAAATGATCTGAATTGACACCGCTGAGTCTTTTTATTTAAGTGAAATATTAATATATGTTATCGAAATTTAACCAAATATAGATATAACAATAATAAGTCCTGCTACTATAAACAATCCAAATTAATAACTGTTATTTCCAAAAAACGACGAATAAATAAATAAATTCAACATAAACCACATATTTACCGCAAATCATTCAAATTCAAAGCCGACAAAAGCCTTGCCGCTTTAATTGTGCGTGTAATACACAAGAACAATCAACGGCAGTGTCATTATGAAACACCTTTAACAGTAAAACGGTAAACAAACAATCAAATGAGTGAGAGTGGTCGATAGACAGATAGAGAGAGAGGGAGAGAATGGCACCCAACTATATTGTGGGTGAAGATAATAACAATGCAAATAATAGCAACACCACCACCCCCACTTCATTCTTTCTCCCATTTGTATCGAGAGTATTAAGTTTCTACGGTGGCTCCAACAACAACAATAATAACCTGTAATTGACGTCAGTCATTTAACGTGTGTTTGGCAAACGTAATTGAATTACTTACTACTGCAAAGTTAGGCACGAATAAAATAATAGCCATACGCGCACCCACACACTCCATAAATAAAAAAGAGATCAAGGTTAATTTAATATGCCAAAACACAACAACGACTTTAAAACCATTTTTAAATAAAAAAAAACTAATAAAAGAAAACAAACAGAAAATACAAAAAGAAGAAGAAATTATTCTAAAGACTTACGAAAGAAAAGAGAGATAAACAAAAAACGGATTAGATAGATGGATTGGCTATAATTGCTTATTGATTTAATTGGCCCCCGAGTCAAGTGAATGGGAACGATAATAAATGAATAAATAAATAGGTATCAACTGATATGGTAGTCAACCACTGTTTATGAGTGGGTGGGGTGTGTGTGTTTTCATAGTTAGAAAAAAATTACTACCTTATCTGGGATATCGTTGTTATGTTATGAACTTGTTGTAAAAATATTCAAGGTTATGATCAAAGGTGTTTGGCCGATGTGACATCTGTTTTTATTATTGTAATGAATAGTTGTTGTTGGCTTTTGTTTTTGGCAAACAAATTGGTATGTGCCGCTCTAGAATTTACAATTAAGGAATTGTTCTTTTGTAAACAACTATTGACTATGTATTTTTTTTTTTTTTTTTTTTTTGTAAATTTGTAAATATTTTGAACTGAAGTATACAATAAATTATTCAGAATGGTAAATAGAATAAAATTAATATAAAAATTGGATCTCGTTTTAAATAAATTATCCAGGGATACAGTTCACCCACGATAAACTAAACTTAAGGGGACCAGAGAAAAGCGTAAAAATTATTGAAATGGATTTTAAAATATATATTTTTTCCCAAGGTCTAATATTTTGGGAGGGTCTAACGGCAAGTGTGTTTTTCGAGGCTCATAGACGACAAGGATTTTTAAAAATATATTTTCGGAGGCTTATAAACAGGCGAGGAATTCTTAAAAAAAATTTTGGAGACTCATAGACAGTCGTCGAGCGAACTTTTTCTTAGAGGCCATGTTGCTTTCCTCTTTATTATGAAGCAAACATCCGATCATTTATTTAAAAAATCAATTTTTTCCCTTGAATGCCATAATAATAGCTTGTTTTGGTACCGTATACAATTAGCAATAGCCCAGCAGTTAATTTAAGTTTCCATTTGGATTCTTAATATTCCATTCTGTCCTACGACATTTGAAATACGTTCTTAATGATCTTCATTAATTAAATACTATTTGCAGGTTTTGTTTTTTTTTCGTAGATTGTTTTGAAAAGGATACAATATATAGGCGACAACGACACCGAACATCACTTCAAAATAGTACATGTCCTTGTAGCGATCTAAGACTTTGGCCAACATTTTGGCATCTTGAATATCACGTGGTATTTTCATGTGTTGTTTTTCAGACCTGCAATGAAAGGAACAAGAAGACAATAATTAGAAAACAATTACAACAACAAAAGCAATTATATTAAAAAACACAAAATATCTACATGAAAATAATTAACATGATTAATTAATGTGTTAATAAGATTTGTTTACACGTCGAAAATGGCGCGCAAACAACTAATACAGAGAAAAGTTACGACGACGGCATGACATGAGAATGACAGCGGCACAGCCTTTCTCAACATGTCATGTCGAGTGATATAGGTGTGAAATTAAGGAGAGAGAGGATTTTATTTCCGTTAATGGAAATAAAAAAAAATATATCAAATTTAATTATTAATTTAATATTATTTACGGAATTAAAATGTAGTTAATTGTTTGCTCCATAATTTTCAATTGATTTGTTTTGATTCACTAATTAATGCGTTTAAATAAATAATAGTCATTATGTGCCCATTGACAAAAGACGACAACATGACATGAGAAAGGATTACACTCTTGTCATTCTCATGTCATTTGATGTATATTGACATTGAGGAGAGTGTTTTTTTCTTTATAGACCGTAGTGAATTAGAAAAATTGGGGGGGATGATAGACGAGCTTTGATTTGTTTAGATATTTTTTGAGGCTCATAGACCGTAGCCGATTTTTTTAAACAAAAATTTGAATGATCATAGAATGGTATGCATGCACCAGCTGATTAGTATAATTTAGCTAGAAGAATGGAACCTCGGCATCCTGTGTCCCGTGCACAAAAAAGGAGACAAGACGATATGTGCCAACTATAGAGGAATATAAAGTGCTATCCAGCGTGCTGTGTGAACGACTGAAGCCAATGGTCAATGACATTATTGGACCATACCAAAGCGGCTTCAGACCTGGCAAATCCACCATTGACCAGATTTCCACTCGGCGCCAAATCCTGGAAAAAACCCCACGAAAAACACATCGACACATTCCATCTATTCGTCGACTATAAAGCCGTATTCGACAGCCCTATCCGTTCAGAGGTATATAAAGCCATGTCTGCATTTGGCAGTCCTGCAAACAAGCCACCTTTGAACAAATTGAAGAGTCTGCCAAAGTGGGTCTGGCAGTAAACGGCGAGAAGACCAAGCTGATGGTATCAACGCGCAAGACTTCCAGTAGACTCGGACCAACTGTGGAACTTGATAACTACAGCTTCAAGGTAGTTAAAGATTTTATATAACTTGGTAACGCCATAAATAAAACGAATGGCATAAGTTTTGAAATTCGGAGAAGACCAGTGATGGCCAACCGATGCTACTATGGTCTGAGCAAACAAATCAAAAGCAAGAGCACCTCCCGCCAGACCAAACTCACACTCTTCAAGACGCTTATACTACCCGTGCTGTTATATGAATCTGAAGCATATGTACTTACGCAAGCAGATGAGGCAGCTCTTGGAGTGTTTGAGAGAAAAATTCTCCGAAAGATCTATGGCCGATCTGCTTTGACGGTGAATATCGCCGTCGAATGAACCATGAGTTGTACCAGCTATTCTCGGACATTGACATTGTTATACATATTGAGCTACAGCGACTACGTGGCTAGGTCATGTGTGAGAATGGCTGAAGATGTCCCAGCCCAGAAGGCATATAAAAGTGAACCAGCTGATGCTTCATGCAGAAGGAAAATCAAGTCGAAGACAATATTGCCGAAAATGGTCTTTCAAATTGGACAAAACTGCGCAAAAGACCGACGCACCTTGAAATATTTTCTAAGCTCGGCTTATGGAACGAAAGTTCTGTCACAAGCCAGCTAAGTAAGTAATTATGGAGACATCATAAAGAGGCGTGAATTTTTTATAATTAATTTTCGGATTCTTTAAAATTAATTTGGAAGGTTCATAAGAGGAGTGGATTTTTGATATATTTTTTCGGCTCTTAGACAGGTGCGAATTTTTATAAATATTTTTGGTGTTCATAGACAGACGGGGATATTTTAAATTTAATTTGTGCTGCTCATAGAGAGACGTATTTTTTTTTAATTTTAATTGAAAATCCAAAAATTTTCTCATTAATCCACAAATAAAATCGATTCAAATTTAATCGAATTTAATCATTAAATAATCGTAATGATGGTCAAGGCTTCATGGTGTAACTTGAACTCTGTACTGTGATTGTATGTCAGTGATAAAAGGTGCGCACACTAGACACAGAGAAAACAACTTGACATTATGAAGACTGTCATTATTGCCTTTACCATCTTATGTCACATGTGAGATAGATAGAAAATGAGGAGAGGATTATTTTCCGTTAATATGGGAATTATTGTTCTCGTAAAATAAAACAGCAAACAATTTCCTTATTGATTTAGAAATTATGTAAATCCTTTAAATAATAGCAATAATGATCAAGGCCTCAACATTTACTCTGTAATCTCACAATTTGCTGAGAGTGAATCTTTACTCTCGCCGCCCGCATAAAAGTGTAACAAGACCTCTGTACTGCTGCTGCTGACATTGCTGCCTGTCTGTCACTCGAGTCTGTGTTATATTCATTTGTTCATTAAAACGAAATAACAGATTTAATTGATAATTGTGTTTGGCTTTTGTTACAACAAAAGTAGTTGTTATAATGTTCACGCGATTAGGAAATGCTCGTTTGAAATAAAAGCGAGTGTATTTTTTTTATTATTAAAAAAATTTAGTACATTAACTAAGTATGTATGCCAATGGTCCAACCAAGGAGATGTAATAGGTTGGGTCGTGACAAAGAAATATAAGAATGAAATATAAGAATATAAGAAATAAAATAATTACTTTATAGTTATTAATTAATTTTAACTAGGAAATATCTTAAAAAAATATTAATTATTAAAATTTGTTTTGAATTGAAAAGAAATTTAATTTTTTTATTTAATCTAGTAGTGTCCCCCCTTGTAATTACACACATTTTTAATTTGTCAAGATCTTATCTTTCACAAGCCAACAAAAGAAAGAAAGAAGAGACGTATGTACATCACGCCACACTCAACTATCTACAAAATGAAAATTAAATGTATATATTTTGTAGAGCTATTTTCTTGATAATTTAATACTTATTTCCCCCCATTGTTCTTCTCCCTGTCCCGACCCACAACATTACTTATGACAATTTACAAATTATCGGGACAATAATAACGTAAAAAACAAGAAAAACAAAGACAATTGACATAAAAAACAACTCTCCACGCCATATTGACAATTGAACTTGAACCATTTTCGCCGGATGGGTGTGTAGTGGGAGGGAAATAAGAGGCGTTAAAAAAAAACTTTCCCGTGACAAAGTAAAGAAAAGTATTAATTAATTTAAGTATTTATTATATGATTATATAATAACCACAGACATACACTGTCATCGAGAATCATCTTTACACTACATATTTTGCAAAGGTAGATCTGGATAAAGGCGTGTATTTTATAAACAATATTTTTAGAGGTTCATAGATTCTTTAAAAATATTTAAAGGATATCTTGAAAAATGTCCCCCTTTTATCAGAACCACAAAATGATCATTAGTTGTTGATTTGCCCTTGAACAACATTTTCAAAATTTCTTAAACACAAATTCTTGCCCTCATGATTTCGAAATACATATGAAGAAGAAGAACAAGCAAACATGAATTTTGTATTTAACCAACGTGTAAACACAATTAATAACATTGAAATTTTGCAATATTTTCCGTTACACGATTTTGATTTCGAAATTAATAATATTTCATGTCATTAAAAAATGAAATTGCATTTTTAGTTGGTTATTGCATGTCACACGTATGCCGTTTTGATGTTTTCTTCTTCTGCTGTGGCAATATCCCTTTACCTTTATTCGTTTTCCCCCCAGCACAAATAAAATGCCAATCAATTCAAGAGGAATATACATATATTCAAACAGATGTTTGAACAGAAAACACTGAAAATATGACATTTGTTCAGTTGAATATTTTCTGCGCCTGATGTGATTCTTCTTTCGCCTAATTGCGGTGGTACAATGTTCCGTACAGTTGGTTCGGGATAAATGGAATTTTGGGAGGGGAAATTTTAAATATTTTTTTCTGAGCGTGTTTTTTTAAATATTTTAGAGGCTCTGGATTTTTATAAAAATTTTTTTAGAGACTCTCGATTTTTTAAAAATATTTTTAGAGGCTATGGATTTTTTAATAACTATTTTTAGAGGCTCTACTTATTTACTTAGCTGGCTTGTGACAGAACTTTCGTTCCATAAGCCGAGCTTAGAAAAGATTTCCAGGCGCGTCGGACTTTTGCGCAGTTTTTCCAATTTGAAAGATCATTTTCGGCGATGTTGTCTTCGACATGATCCTTCCAACGTATTCTTGGCCTTCCCCTTCTGTGTGAACAATCAGCTGGTTCGCTTTTATATGCCTTCTGGGCTGGGGCATCTTCATCCATTCTCACAACATCTCATGTGTTTTTCGTGGGTTTTTTTCCAGAATTTGGCGCAGATTGAAAATCTGGTGGATTGTGGATTTGCCAAGTCTGAGCCACATTGGTATGGTTCAATAATGTCATTGACCATTGGCTTCAGTCTTTCACACAGTACGCTGGATAGCACTTTATATGCGATGGGAAGGAGACTTATTCCCCTATAGTAGCACATATCGTCTTGTCTTTTTTTGTACACGGGACACAGGATGCTGAGGTTCCAATCATTGGGCATGCATTCTTGTAGGCAGATTGTAATCAGCTGGGGCACGCTCCTTATCAGCATATGACCACCAGTCTTGAATAGTTCGGCTTGTAAGCCATCGGCACCTGCTGCTGTATTATTCTTCAGCCGATTGATTGCTATTCTGACTTCATCTTGGCTAGATGGTATACATTTCTGGGGTATCCACTTCACTGCTACTATTTGATACCAGAAGTTTTTCAAAATGCTCCTTCCAGATCCTCAGCACGCTGTCTGTATCTGTCACCAAGTTTCCTTCTTTATCTCTAAAGGAGGATGTGACTGCCCCAAAGCCTTCGGTTTGGTGTTTTACCCGTTTGTAGAATTTTCGG